TTGTCGTCTACTATGACACACTACACGAGATGAAACGATGGATTATCATGTACGACACTCGTTGTTGTTCACAATCCGAGCCTATAATCAGGCTGATATTATGTAGTGTGTACCAGGCATTGGTGACTCCTCAGCTCTGATTAGTCGTTTTTGGTTTGCCATGGTCTATTCTTGCGAATGCCATGAGTGGGAAGTAAGAGGAAGAGGAAGAGGAAGAGGAAGGACGTGACTTTTTTCACAAACTATCTGTCTCATGTACTTCCTTCAGAATAAAGTGACAGTTTCATCAAACATGACACAAAGTTATTGTCATAAAAGTTACCAACTGTAGCTTTAAATGAATGATGGCTGAATTCCATGGAGATGCTTTAGTTTCAGGGTACTGCTATTATGCATGATGGCTCTCCGTCACACTATCATGACTTACTGGGGCGTTTGAATAGACTGGAGCTATTATTAATGTTATTAATAACACCTGTGCTTCCCTTGCTGTGACAAGTCAAAATATCTGCTGTTAAAAGGCCTGTTCAGCCAGTATGTGTATTACAATTCAATTTTTCAACATCCATCAACATCAACTGTTGCATTTTACATGGTTGTTATTAAGAGCACAGGTGCCTCAAAAGTGTTTCAACAGAATGTGGTAGAAATGTGAAAAGCAAATACATCTCTTCTTGGTCAAATGGCTGCAGTGAATACGTACAGTAAGGCACAAGAAAAGGGAAAATTCCAGGGTAACACCATTTACGTCTCTGTCATTTTCTCACTGAGGCGTGCTAATAGCACTCTCAAGCAGTCTGGACTCCAAATTAAGGGAGGTCACTGTGCCTCATCTCCTGCGCTGATGGCTGAGCATACAGAAAAGGTGAGTCTGCGGACTGTGAAATACTGGAGGTGAGGGGACGGCAGGGTCAAGTCCTGGAAAGACGATCCCACTTAAACACCATTAGGGAAGACTACAGTGTCTGGGGACAGCCAGACGTTGGTGTGTTCGTTGTAGTTTCATCCTTTAAATTAATAAATGTCCTCATAATGTCGGAAAAATGACCCAAACTTTGCTGTTGCAAACTTCTTTCAGTGACTAATTTTGAAAATAGGTCAGTGTCTACGGGATTTTGCACTGTCACACATTACATCCTGTGAACACCTTCTTTCCTGTGTGACAGCAGCATGAGTCCGCTTGCCTGGTTCCTACCTCCGGCTTTGCATCCCACCCCTCCCTCACTCCTGTGCCAGTCCTAGGTGTGCATTCTGACTCAGGCGCTTGGCCAAACAGCCACATCCACAGAAACCGTCAGTCCACGTCCCTCAATTTTCACCCCAGCATGTGGACCCCGCACCCGGCAGCGCTTTTCAATTAGACCGAACGGAAGGCAAGGCCGGGTGTGATGCTAACGACCTTTGCGTCAAACCTCGACTGTCGCTGTCACACTGTGCGCATGCGGGAGTCTTCACTCAGCTCCAAATTTCCTTCCTTTTAATCAATCTTTTCTTCCTTTGTTTCTTTCTGCTTTTCCATCTTTGAGTGAGAAATAATCTCAGTGGATTCTCGATTCTTTCACCCCAAGGGCAAAAGGTGGATAGAAATGAAAGGCAAGCAGGAGAAGAGAAGGAACAAAAAGTGTCAGGAACTCATTTTATTTGAGCAGGGAGTTCAAGCAGAACGCACTGTATGTTCACCACCTGCTAGCTGTGGATTCAGCCTCTGGCCGTGATGCTCTGATGCATGGAGTGTGCACGTGTGAAGCTAAAGCTGACAATATCACAGCATCGTATGGTTTACTGAAGCAAACAGGGAATGGGATTACCTCTGACTATTGATCAGCTCACAAACACACACACACACAGTAGATAGTTGTGAATGACAGCCCAAAACACTACTGGAAAGATCAAGGCAAAAGTGCCCTTACAATCAATGTGATGGCACTATACCACCTTAATACCACCTGTCTCCTTCCTGTGTCATTTGGTGCTTTTCTTTGCTGTTGCCATGGTAATAATAATTCCTATAATTCATTCAATTGTACCCATTCCCCCCTGAGATCCAAGACCTATTCTTACTGTTTCAGAAGAAAGGCAGCAAGGGGGGGGGGGGGGGGGGGGGGGGGGGGGGGGGGGGCGGGGGGGGGGGGGGGGGGGGGGGGGGGGGGGGGGATACGGCATCCATATGACATTGCAGTAAGAGAAAACAGAGAGCATAGCAGCAACAATCATAAGTGGGCAGACATCTATAACTTGCTGCTGTCTACAATAACTCATAATCAAAGTCCAATCTTAATTCTGGAGAAGCAAAACCATTTCCCATTTACCTCCGTACCTTGGTCCACTTATAGCAGCACAGGCAGTATAATGGAGCACATGAGAGGAAATGATTCGGTTAAGAGAATCCCTCCGTTGTCTTTTGAGACATAAAATGCCTCAGAGTTTTGTCAGCAATCACTATTTGCTCCAAGGAATAATGTATGGCTCACATCAGTGGAAACTGAGCCTTACCTGATGGAGAGGCTGTACGTGAGTCTGTCACTGTGCGTGTACATGCAGCCACAGTGTGTGTACATTGAGTTGTATCTATGCCCAACCATATCCCAAAGTCCACGTCTGGCCTTCGTGATCCGGTAATTTAGCAGGCGTAGATACACTCGGCATCGGGCTGTCAGTCAAGCCCTGGTGGCTGTGTGCTTCCTGACCTTGCTGAGCCGATCTCAGCATCTGTCCTCTAACCATTACTGTCACATCTCACGCGCCAGGCAATATGTCTGAGCCCATCTGAAGTAACACATAGAAGAAGATAGAGAGTGGAAACAGATACCGTCTTTCTAGCCGGCAGAAGTTTACTAACAGCACAGAAAAATACATTTCACAGTGTCTTATTAAGTTATGAGACAGCAAGAGAAAATTTTGTTATGTTATTTTCTTACAATGTCCCCATGTCTGCTTATTTATCTCCTTAATTCAAACTAAAGTGGGTAAGTGTAGTACACTGACATTTTGGTTAAATTTAGAAAAGGGAAAGAAAAAAGAAACAGTCCACATTAGATGAATGTGAATGAGAATGATATGTCAGGATTGCTGATGCTATTCACTTTCAAAGTAAATTTTCTGACATTTGATCAAGGTTAACTAGATCTTAGCTCTGCGTCGTCAGTGAGATGCAAGGTCATTGCCACTTTCTTGAGGGCAGAAGACAGATAGACTTTTTTCTGCTTTAATGCATTCTAGCGACAAGATGAAATACATTTTCTGTATTTTTAGTAAATTGAAAAGAGGAGAAAAAAGATCCGATATGCAGTAAATGCAAAAACCAAAAATTTGACCGACCTTTGCAAGCAGCAATTCCTGCCCCTACTTCTCAGGTGCTGCGTGTTACCTCAGTGCGGCAGTGTTGTGTTGCTGCAATGAATATAAACTCAACTGCGACTGCATCAGAAATTTAAATAACAGAATTGTGTCAATTTAAAAAGATGACAACCTGTCACAGATTGTTGGCATGGGTTAATGAGGGCACAACTCAGAGACAGCCTCAAGACAGAGAAGAAAAGACGCTGACATTTTCTCACTGCGAGACAAGCTGAGTCAAAGATCTGACACTCCGCCGAGCTTCGGCTGTGATAACTTACTGCTTTAGCACCCACTCCGCCCCCAACCCTAAAACTTTTCCACTTGGCTCATTTGACTCCCACTCTGCGGGATGAGATGAGTGCTGGACGCCCTTGAAGTTTCAATGGCAAGAAACTTTTCCATCAGCGCGCCCACAGTTGCCGCTTATGATCTGAAAAGCCTGCGTCGGGAAAGCCAGTGGAATAAATAAGCCAAGCTGAGAGGAAAACCAAACCAATTTTGAGAACTTCTGATTTGGGGATGGAGGAGAAAGACACGATGGAAGAGTGAAAGGAGAGAAGGGGAGGCAGAGACAGAGGGAGGGAGAGTGTCAGGGGCAAGCCCTATTGATCTGGAGGCTTAATTAACCATCAGATGCCTCTGACACAGCCTCTGATCTTCTATGATCAGTGGCAGAGTGGCACCGCTCTGGGGGAGACGGTGAAGAAGAGGATAGGAGAGAAACAGGAGAATGAATGGGAAAGGGTGGAAAGAGGTAAAGTGTAGATCATTGACAGATTGCAAATTCACTCCATCTGAGGAGAGGTGGGTGGAAGGGTAACGGGGTGGGAGGTGAAAGAGGAGAAAGTGTGAGTGATGAGGAGATCGTGAGATGGTGGGGAGAAAAAATGGGTGAGTTTGGAGGAATAAAAAATGGAGGAGGGGGAGAAAAGAAGATGTAGGAGAAGTGGGAAAGTGGGAAATAAGAAGGTAAGACAGGAAAACAAGTGCATGGAAACACCTACTGTGTGTGCTGAGAAATTGGGCATGGAACATGCAACTACGCTACATCATCCCCCACAAACACGCCCTCTTCACATCTATGCAATCACCTTCAGCTTCTCTGCGTATGCATATGCGAAAGGTCCGTCGATGCTGAGATGACAGCGGTGACGGGTTGAGGATTGAATTGCCAATTCTAATACACCTGAAGAGACGAGATCTCAGCCCTCTGATGTCAACTGGGTAGAATGGAAATTGACCCAAGTGAAACCAGTCGGGAGTGGAGTGAAGGCAGAGAGGATTGGGGATGACGTTAATCCATGAGAGGTTTGAATAGTGAAACAGCGCACCTTGGGATGTGGAGTGATGAGGAGGGGGAGGAGGCTTTGATTGTGACGCTGGTTGGGGGTTTGAGGGAAAGAGCGCAGAGGAGCTGCTGGGGTGGATGCTGAAATTGATCAGGGCATGTCAGTTTACAGACAGCACCAATTCAGGGGGAAAATATATCCAATGAGTGTGAGGTTAGCAGGTCAACCACACTTCCCATCAACGTGAACGGGGAGTGATCGGCCAAAAAAAAAAAATCCAATTGGTGGAGTCATTTTGTCTATTAGAAGGTTGAAAGAGACACAAAGGTGCTGAGGGGGAGGGTGAAAGAGCCTTACTGATACACCACTCACCAATGCGTCCGATCATATTAGTCTGTGGTGTGGAGTTGTTGTCCAAGCCTTCGATGCTTTCATACAGTGAGTGGGAAATCCGGCGCTCGTGGTTGTCCAGTAGAGAGTTTGAAGGATGCTCTATGACCGGAGGGCTGCCAGGGGCTACCTACAGAAACCAGGAGAGATGAAGAGTAGACATGAGGCTGGAAAACAGGTGCAGTGCCAGATACATTTTCCATTTAGTCTGACGAATAACTAGTGTTCTTTAAAGGGCCAATATGAAAAAAATCACCATAAACATTTGAGGTATATTCATATTCATAACTGAAATTCAAACAGAACATCTTACCCTGCAAATTCTACGTTTGTCAATTGACAATAAAAATTATCTGCTACTACTACAATACTATTTTAACTACTACTAATGCTTAACTACAACTTTTTACAGCATTAAAGATCATTACATTTAACTATCTTACCTAAAATTTGGGACGCTGTGTAAAACGTATATACTGTAGATACACACTCAATCTGAATGTGATGTCTGCAACGTGTTTCGAAAAAGTTGAGATGGGGCAACAAAAGACTGGGAAAATTGTGGAATGCTCAAAAAACACCTGGAATATTCCAGAGGTAAACTGATTGATTGGTAGCAGGTGATAGTATCATGATAATCCTCAAAAAGATTAATGGTCACAAAACCACTGTCCGTAAACACAGTTCATTGCTGCATCTACAAATGCAAGTTCAGACTGTACCATGCAAAGTGAAAACCAGATATCAACAACATCCAGAGACACTGCAGACTTCTCTGAGCCTGAGCTCATCTGAGATTGACTGACACAAATTGGAAAAGTGTGCTTTGCTGAGACAAGTCCACATTTCAAATTGTTTTTGGAATTCAATTACGACATTGTGTCCTCCAGGCTAAAGAAGAAAAGGACTGTCCAGATTGTTACCAGTGCAAACCTCAAAAGCCAGCATCTGTGGTGGTATGGAGATGTGTTTGTATGTAACTTGCACAAAGAATGTTGAAAAGTGCGTACAGGTTTGGAGCAACATATGCTGCCATCCAGAAGACACAATGCCAAGCCACATTCTACACGTTACAACAGCATGGCTTTGTAGTAAAAGAGTGTGGATACTAGACTGACCTGCTTGCAGTCTCCCTTTACAAATGCGTGGGACATTATGATGTGTAAAATATGGCAATGAAGACCCCGGACTGTTGAGCAACTGAAGTCTTACATCAAGCAAGAATGGGAAGTAATTTCATTTTCAAAACTTCAACAATTAGTGTCCTCAGTTCCCAAACGCTTACTGAGTGTTGTTTTGAGAAAAGGTGATGTCATACAGTTGTAAACATGCCCCTGTCCCAACTTTTTTGGATCACGTAGCAGATATTAAATCTTCTTTGGACTGTATTCAATTGAATATAGGTCACAGAGGAATTACAAATCATTGAATTCTCTTTTTATTTATGTTACACAGCGTCTCAACTTCATTGAAATTGGGTTTATATGTTATTCTGTATATTAAAAGCCCTGTAAATCAGACTGAGACTGATAATAGATTCCAGCAATGAGTCTTGCTTCACCTTTTTATGGAACATGTGTATCCTGTATTGTGCCTTTGAAATAATCATTAATCCCAAGTGAATGTGTGTTAACACAGATCAAAAGCACAGATGGAAAAACATTTTAAAAAAGATCAAGTAAGGAGACTATGAACGTGCCATATAAACAGGAAGCTACACACACACTAAGAAATTCACACACAAAAGGAAGAAACGGGTCTAAACGGCTCCTAATGTGATGCCATCAATACTCCAGAAACATGGAACTGGTGCTTCAGCGTCCATCTCAGCTTACGCTGGTATTTTCTGGCTCAGCAGTGTGAAACGGCTCCTGTAGTAGTCCGAGCTGGATAAAGCTCCATGGATTTCCCATAGGCCGATAGACAGCTGTCTCTAACAATGAACCCCAGTAAATGGACCAGTGACATTTGCCATGTGGTCGATACACAGCACTGCTGGTTATTGAGCCCAGCGTACACTCAGTGCATGTGTCAGTCTTGGCAGGGGGACACGCTTAGTGGTTAGTCTTTGGGTCTGGAACCACTGGGCCTGGATGCTATGTCCGGTCTTCAAAAGCCAATAGTCTGTTAAATGTGGTATTTTTAGAATAGAGACAATGGAGCTACCACAGCAAGAGTCAGGAAGTAGAGAGGAAAAAAAATCTCACATCCACGTGCAGAGAGTTAGAGAATAAAGCTCGGGCCTTGGCCTTATTTCCCACAATGCTTCATAGCAGCCTGTGGGCAGCCGGGGGAATGCACTGGAGAAGAACTCCCTGTACAGGACCTATTACAGATAGCTCCCTTACAGCGAGATAGTCCTTCGCAGTTCAACTCTGTACCTCAAGCATGCTTTAAACCAGGAGGCCCTGGCTAATATTGATGTCTCACAACACTCTGCTGGCTCCCAGCCATGAGAAAGGGGAGTAAAAGATCAGACTGCAGCAGGAAGACAGGAGAGCAGGAGGACGAGGAGGAGAGAAGAAGAGGAGGAGGTGGTTTTGGTGAACAAATTAAACAAATAGCAAAAAATAGGAGGATAGTAGGGGTGTGGGAGCTGAGGCCCAGGCGCAGTGAGGGTGTCGCCTCCTCGTGGGAGCTGCGCACCCTGGAAGACGCATAGCAGGGTAGAGGAACTTATCGGCTGTTTAATATAAATGAGAGGTTTAATGAGGTTGAGAGCGCCGGACTTTATCAGGACAGCGTGTTGATAAGAGCGAGGGGCGAGGAGGGAAGGCGTGTGCGTATGTGTGAGCGTGAAAGGGGGGGCAGGGTCAACACAATTACAATCAGAGCCACGGCGACTGGCAGCCTTATAATAAAAAGCATGTCCCTGGATGATTCCGACTCAATAAAGCTCAAATTGTCGAAATAAAGATTTATTTTACTCGCGTCTCTCTCTTTCACTCAAGCCCTCTCTGCTCTTTTTAATCTGCTGCAGATCTGTCATGAGCTGAAAAGAAGTAAGATGGAGTGTTTCAGGTGAGAGGCAGGGAAATGGGTGGACAGACAGCGAGCAGCTGAGAACCAAATGATATGAAACTATGTGTAGAATGTGTCAAGAGGAGTAGATCTCAGAAAGTCCACTCTGTAACTGTCTCCCTCTATCTCCGAGCTCTGAACAGGCTTTTCTTTAAAGTACTCATTGGCCTCTATGGCAAATAGACTCAGGAGCCAACTTAACACAGAGGCAAAATGGCAGCTATTTAATCTTTGTGTATCCAGTATTAATTAAGTCCGCTTCTGTGCATGCTAATGCTTTAGCACACTGTGCATGTTTACTGACTTGCGAATGTTTACTGACTAGCGCATGACAAGCTGTGACATTTCATGTAAAATGTGCACTCTCTGCTGTCACCTGATATTCGATATCACAGTCGTGATTCCACGTTACGGTCTTTTCCTAAGAAATATCTTTAGAAATATCCCATGCAGGAACAGATGCATTTTGTCATCCCTGCAGAGCAGAGGCAGCAGGTTAATAAAGTAATGAAATGAACAGAAGAAAAATTGGATTGTAAGCACCGGCATCAATCATCACAATTGCCTCAGAAGACAAAAATAAAACACTCTGTGGTATCACGGTATTAAAACCCCGAAACAGCCACATTGAGTTGATCAAGGAGCTTATCTGTCCAAACCTGGATGTGTTCCTTTAAGTTTTTCAGTGTCTTTGTTGGGATTTTAGTCCGTTCTTAACACCGGTTCTCATCACCTCATCATGTGTTTAATCTGTCTTAATCTAGTCATTTTCAGAGTGGATTATCCTGTTGACTGAGGGAGAGGGCAGAGCACTGTGACTTACACTGAGCCCAGTCAAGATCATCTGCTGCTCGGCTCCCACTGGACTCACTGAGCACGCCTGGGTGTTTGTGTGCTCAAGGTAATGCTGTTATTCTCCTGTGTGAATGCAGCGTGAAAGTATGTGTGTATACCTGTATTCATGTGCACGTGTGTTTGTATTTATATGCGCTTTGAGTAAGTGCAGACTCATGCACAAACGTGTTTCTGCTTGTGCATCAGCATCTCCGTGACCTTGAGTTCTCAGTGAGGGAGAAGAAGCAGTGTGTTGACAGGGCCAGTCTTAAGCTGTCAACTAAGGCTAATAATGTCTAGTCCATGGCCATTTCCTGGCCTTCTATCCCAGTCTCAGCCTGTTGCTGTGGCCCTAATCCAGTCAACCTCCACCATAATGCTGTAATTACAATCCTTAAGCTGCTGCATCCTGCCCCAGGCACAATTTACCTCTCTGCTGGCTAGATACCCCACTTTCATTAGCTGCTCACATCCACCTAGAGCCTCAGCTAATGCCCGCGCTTCCCAAAGTGGGTGCCCGGGTCTTTTAGGAGTTCTTAGCAAGACTTCAATTTCACAAAAACATCACGCAGTTGGGGAATCAGCACGATAGCCAGGTATATAAGAATAACTTCTGGTCACGTTTAGCTGTTCCACCGCTGATGATCCTCTAAGCAAACATATAAAGGGTGTCCTGCTACAGACAACCAGGCAAGGGCCATTATGCTCGTTTTGATTCTCACAGAAATGGAGGCTTACAGTTGAGATGCTTACTAGTCCGCTCCATTAGAGAAGTCAGGATCACTTCTGGCACAGATACAAGACCACAATGTAGTGGGCCTCACTGTTGTATTAGAACAGTTTCAACAGTGCATTTTAAAAAAGACAAAGCTGTTCTATAAGCAAAAAGCAAAATGTGTAACAGGAAATGAACAACTTCCTTGTGCGTGGAAACTCCACTACACCAGAACTGTCCAGGGAATTATGTGCTCAATGCGACTAACCCACAGAGATTCAGCCATATTAGCAGCTCTATGACGCTAAACACTATCATTAGCATTAGTACGTGCTCACAATAACAATGCTAATATGCTGATTTTTAGCAGGCACCATGTTTACCATGTACGCCATCTTGCTTTAGTGTGTTAGCATGCTAACATTTAATTAGCACAATGTACAGCGGAAGATAATGAATGTCATTATTAAAAGTTTGATGCAATGATGGCTGTAGATGAAAAGTTGTGACTGTTCATCCTCTTTATGGAAATTTATCCAAGAGACTGGCTAGATATTTCG